AATGACCACGGATGATCTTGAAAATGTAATTTGATAACAAAAAAGTGGGGTCAATGACTTCGGACGACCTTGGAAATTTATGAGGTCAACGACCTTGAAAATTAATGGAGAGGGGGGAGGGCCTTGGATGCCCTTGAAAATTAATGGGGTCAGTGACCTCGGATGACATTGAAATACAATATTTAAGGTTGGGCTACAAGTTTCTTTGAAACTGGTGCACTTAAGATTTACTGACGACACCACGACTTGGAAGTTCGATGGATCGTCACTGAAACGAGCTGGAAGTGTAGCCATTATTTGTCATTCCATCAATTTTATGAAGGCGGTGGAAAATCGCTGAACAGACAGTCAATAGCGTAATCAAGCAATTTTGGTCGGAACAGACTCAAGATAAAATAAGGCGGCCAAGATTAGCAACACCACAATTATGATTTTAGGAGAAGAAATTATGTGGACCACGTATGGTAATGGGTAGGAGAGAAACAGTGAAAAACAACTGGTCAATGCGTTGACAAGACAGTTCCCTGGAAAATAACTTTATTGGGTCCGGAGAAAAAAACAGCCCAGAATTTTGAAGAAATAATCAACGAGATAATCAAAACCGAGAAAATCAAGATAGGAGAGACAAAAGACAACATTATGAAAGAAGAGATCTAGATCAACGAAGCCAAAACGGAAACAATTATCAGCAAAATAACAGAAACCATGAAAACCAAGCTAGAGAGACCATAGACAAGATTATGAAAGAAGACAAGAAAAGGCACACGGAGGCGGAAGAAGGAAATAGAATACCAAGAAAACGAGTAGGAGTTGGATCAGTAGTCCCGCTGATTCAGGAACAACGAAGGGAACAAACCAACCCCATAAATATCAAAAAAGTTTTATCCAGGGTTTTATCCAAATACAAATCCAAATTCACTAATATTAAACGACCAGAAACATCAAAACCCAACATGAAGAAATAATCAAACCCATTACAAATAGAGTGCTTGAGGGGGTCAAACGAGATTTTTTGAGGATACCAGCAGTCAAATTAACGTAGTTGGTGGACCAGTTAGTTCTATAAGGATTTAGACCAGGAGATGAAGGAATAACAAGTGAAAATGAAGAATCAGAAATCAAACGAGTCAAGGGGAATTCAGAAGAAAAGATTAATTTAAGAATTACAAGTTAAATGGGAAATATAAGAAGGTGAAGAAGAAGCAGTGGAGAAGATCTTTTAAAGCACAACAGTTAAACTTGAATCTTCAGATTAAACAAGGAGAGAATCGACATTTTAGAAAAATAATATTTGAATATGCAAAAGAGTCAGTTTTACTACAAAGAGAAACCAAAAGAACTAAGGCTGAAGGAAAGCCAACTTAAGTACATTTGAGGCGAGACTGTTTGATTAGAAGGATAATGCTAGGAGGGGAAGACCAGAAACTGAACTACTCAGAAATATAATGGGAAGGAATAGTTATTATCAGATGAAACAGGAGGTTCAGGATAGAGGAAATTGGAGAACCCGCTTCTACTTGCCTTAGGACAGTTCCACATAATAATAATAATTTTTGAAATAGACATTTTCTTCAAAGGCAATCAGAACCTTTTGCAAAATCCTTCAGATCTTTTCTGGTATTCATACTAGCACCTCTGGGAAAATCTTCAAGGATTTCTCAGAGTCTGCAAAAATATACTTGATACAATCTTTATTGCTTCATAGGGGATTCTTCAACTATTCTTTAGAGATTGTGGGTTTTCACAGAGATGGATTGTAGAGGTTCCTAAAATATTCGTCACAAATTCTTCCACTAGATTCTTAGAGATCAATGAAACAGTTAGTTTGCTAGATTCATAGTGATCTTTTAAAATACTTGATAAAGGTCTCAAGAATCCTAGAGGAATTTTCAGTCTTTCAATTATAATCTCTGGTGAAGGTTTGAAAAGGTCTGTAACTGAACACCCTCTGCACATTCTGTAAGGATAAAAAACAGGTGAAAAGAATATTGATCATTTCTGAATTCTGAATTGTAAAATATAATAACCGAAAGAAAATGATGAATGATCTCTAAAGGTCACTAAAGTACGCCAGCCGTAACGACCAAAAATGTTTAGAAATGAAAACTTCTAAAGCATTTGTGAAGAACTAAGTAATTTCCAATGAACTTTTAAAGAGCCTTCTATGGAATTTTGATGAGCCTCTTACTAATATCTGAAACAGCGTCTAGATTCTCTGACGAACTCAACCAATAAAACTCCGTGTTGTCTCAAAAAATAACTACAACTGTACAACAAAAGTGAACTAATTGATTTGAGACGTAAATAAATTATAACGAGCGCACTTTTTGCCACGTAACGTAATATACAGGGTGACAATTTGAAAACTTACCACCCCCCATATCTTAGTAAATAAACGAGATATTTAAAAAAATCAAAATCCGTTTCGGTAATTCGGAGGGGGAATCACTCACAATGACATAGTTGGCGACGCACCCCCTCCAACCCCCTGCGCCCCAGCCACCCCAACTTTTAAATCTTAAATAGTGACCCCCCATGTGTGATACGTCGTTGGAAAGCTCTGAAAAAATGCTTTCCAACCATACCAAATAGCATTACATTTAGGTTAGTAATAATCGTGCAAATCAAAAAATAAACATGGAAAATCGTATTTAACTTGAACTTCCAAAGCCGACTCGACAGGAACTCATTTTTGATCGCCAGTTATAATCGATTCTCAAACTCTTGTCGAACCTTTTCAAATGTTGGTTTGGCAATATTTCGACATTCTTGAATTATTCTCTGTCTTAGTTCGTCTATGTTCGCCGATTGCGTTTTAAATACGACAGATTTCAAATGTATCATATTAGTTTATTTTTTGATTTGCACGATAATTACTAACCTAAATGTAATGCTATTTGGCATGGTTGGAAAGCATTTTTTCAGAGCTTTCCAACGACGTATCACACATGGGGGGTCACTATTTAAGATTTCAAAGTTGGGGTGGCTGGGGTGCAGGGGGTTGGAGGGGGTGCGTCGCCAACTATGTCATTGTGATTCCCCCTCCGAATTACCGAAACGGATTTTGATTTTTTTTAAATATCTCGTTTATTTACTAAGATATGGGGGGTGGTAAGTTTTCAAATTGTCACCCTGTATAGATATCAAATCGGTGTCGGAACGGTGAAATCGTCAAGTGTATCGAGGCAGTTTAATTGTTAAAATAATCTTCCAAAAGGATATCGGTAATCCTTGCAGTTAGCCGAAACATTAAGTAAACCTTTGGGTCCAATATTTTCTAAGAAGATCACGAATAATATATATCACTTGAAGTCTTCAATCAGAAGATGGCGGTGAAGTACTTTTCCAAGAGGCGTGACAGTTAAATTCTGCGTATTTATCAAGGACGTCCATATCGTAAAGCCCAATGTAAAAAATAAAGTAAACAGAAAACAAAAGAGAAGAAAAGGGGTCCTAAAAATATGCAATGTTAATGGAAGTATTCAGCAAATATGGCACATACCTATACGGGCGTACAATATATCCGGTAACTGTGACACTCAAGCTTTGTAAGAAAATCACAAAGGGAACGTTAGGGAACCTTTCAGACATAGCCGAAATTAAATCCCTTAAAAGGTAGACAAAAGTCAAGTAAAAAATTTCCCATGTATGTTTTTTCACAAGTAAACCGTGTAACGACTTCTCTTCTTCTGAAGGTAAACGAGATCGCTCGCGAAGTCGTTTTTTATACACAAAGTTTTTTTTAATCGATCTTGCAGTGACCACGCTGCCAGTGACATAAAAATCAAAATTTAGCTACACAACTTGAAGCGAAAGTTTTCTAAAAGCTACAGAACAGAATTGATCGCAACTGGGATAATTACTACTACTAAACGGTATTGTGTTTACATCACGACATAAATATATCAAGGCTTCCATCTAACGATTAAAAATATCTCTACTATGGAAATTCACTCTTTTATTACCCATAAGTCATAATATCACTGTTTATGTGGTAAAAGTTTACGATTACTATCGCAAAGTCGTTAAGCGACCAGCAGAGTGTACGACAATAAAACAGTACAGTTCGTACAAATATTCAACTTGCACTGAATCCAATGTGACAGATTCAATTAGTTCGAAGAATGATTGTTGGTTTAGTGGTAAGAAATTCGCTTTGCTATTCAATTCAAAAGTTTGCTGCGGCTGCTCGACCAAAGTTGTTCACAAATAATGTATTCCCAACAACGTTTCCTGTCGAGAATTGCGTAATAAAGTCGGATTATTTAGCCTTTGATTCAAAATGTTTGAAATTTATTTGGTTAGTCGACCGGTGAGCTGCAATAAAATTTACGAGAGATGGTTTAAAACTTTAAGCGGTTTACACATGGCAACAATTTGCCAACTTTTGCCCGTCTTAAACATGAGAACGCCCTCAGCGATAACCCTTTTAGTGTATTTTGTGCTTGTAAGCCTACACAAATAGGGGACCCGAGTCCTTTCGTTCAAGAAAAATGCCCACGTTTATAATCTGGTAACAATGACCTAAAGCTACATGTATGAAATGTCACTACTGTAGTATTAACTACATAATATATTAATAAAAGACATTCTATGGATTCATGCAGTAATTAATTGGGTTGTGCAACAATGAACGGATAATTTCCGTTCTCCTGCAGTCTGAGTTTAATTTCATGTGACAGAAAAGAATTTGGCCTACTACACAGTTCGTGCAGCAGCTAGTTTCATTTTTATATATTACCAATTGACTTCCAGTGGTTTCTCAAAAACATCTCGGTAATTGACCTGCCAATTTCTGCTATTGTACTAAATAAATGAACACTTCATCCCTCTGCACTTAGATATATAAAATTGATGGTATGTTTGTTTACAAACTTGACAATGCACGTTGACGTTGAACTTGTTTACTAACGCAATGTCAGTGTTGAATCCTTCACGCCATTATTGCGTTCTCTCAAGCATGCCAAGACGTATTGAGATTTAGCGCAAGAGTTGCAAACTTACCTCGATAATAAGGACGTCCAAGATCTGTAACAACGAGATCGTATTAAAAATAGAACAGAATAAATCAGGAACAAAATTACTCACTAGAGAGGCGACCTTGAGTATAAATCTATAATTTGTATGTGCTATTGTCTGTTGCAGATGAGCTATATTTTCTATCGTCGTGTAGCAATTCGCTTTACGATTACGTGACTGCATTACATTAAAAATTTCATATCTGTAATTAACGAGCTAACCTATGAGCATATTTCATTGCAATTAGAACACGGCGACGTGGTATTACGATATCGTAGTGCGCTCATACTGTAATCAAGTTGTAATAAAAACGCATAAATTTAAGTTCTATTTGGATTTTTTTCAGTGGTAATCAATAAGTAACCTCTACACCTTCCATTCCGTTTTCAACCATCCTGGCGCTATATAGGTATATATAGTTATTTTGCCTACTACGGGACTACTAACTTTTTCTTGAAAAACGATTTGTTTGTTCGTCAGTTGTTCTTCCATATGAGGAACACGGCGATTTAAGTAATCAATAAATCAAGCAATCATAACAATCAATATCACTCCTCCAAATCGCCAGGATCATCAAGACCTCCAACAAGGGGGTCTTTAACACAACGCCATACAAAGACCATCAGCTACAGACATAGAACTGTGCTCGAGTTCTAGGTAAATTAGATATCGGCACTGGAAATTCTGCTCCCCAATATTCAAGAACCGAAACGTCCTTAGTACATAATTTGAGCTCGTGTTGTGCCCCCCCCCCACGTTTTTGAACCAATCTCAAGTCTCTAAAACTCATAGAAATCGATTTGTCGTTAGAACAATAAAAAATAAATATTTCTAAAACATTAGACGATGTCGTGAAAGTTAATTCCCTCTCGTATTTTCGTATATTAATTATCACGCCCTGAAATCGTAAATGGTAAATGACCGCGCAATCGCGCCCTATGTATACAGGCTGTTTCACGCAAACCGTTACCTAAAAGTATTTAGACTTCCATTAATAATTTAAATCTGAAAATTTGCATACCAAAATAGTTTTTCATGATCGAAAGAAAATATTATCATGATCGTTTCACTTACCGTCATTCTTATTTTAAACAGCCTCTATATTTGATTGCATTTTCGAAATCTACATGAAAATCTACATCGTTTGATACGACACTCTCTATACCTAGTATCAAAGGTTTTCAAGTTATCCAAGATTTTTCAAAATTTTTGACGATTGACTGTTTTTCTTTAGTACCCTGTACCTATGGCCCCGTTGACTTGAATTTCAAAAAGTCTTCCACAATAATGACGAGATGCCAGATGCGAATGATTTAAATTTTGAACGGCCTTCTACAGGGTGTTTTAAAATTAATGGTTAAGTTTAATAACATCGAACCTTTTTTCAAATGAAACCTGCTTTATTTTTTTGAACTTTCAAATGTGGAAAAAAATTCTACATCGATCAATTATTAAATTCCCTATACCTATCTGTTATGGTTTTTTTTATTTAAGATTTTCTAAAATTGTGACCGCTATAATATGCATAATTTTCGTAGGAGACCTTGAAATAAACGCGTTAGTAGATGTCATTGTACCATCCTTGGAAACATTTCCTGGGGAAAACTACTGGTTTCAACTTAACGGAGCGCCAGCACATTCTGCCCATGATGCTTATATGCATTTGAACATTTTTGAAGACAGGTGGATTAGGGCCTACAGATCCGCGTTATTGGTCTTCTAGATCTCTAGACATAACGCCACAGGACTTTTATGTGTGCGATCTTATACAAAACAAAGTTACACCAGTTGTTTCTCGTGAAGAACTGCAAGTTAGGGTCAAGAGTTTTTGATGAAATGGGGTAGGAATTCGAGAGGCAACTATCAACGGAGTTAATCAGGGGATGCCATTATGCATTGAAAAAAACGGTGCCCACGCAGAACAAAACCTCAATTGATGTTTGTTTTTTATTTTGTCATTTATTACTTATGACTTGTTACGTGTTTTTGATTTCATCTTTATTTAACTTTGTATCTAGCTTTCTAATTAAAGTAAATAGGGTTTTTTCATACTTAGTGATATAATAAACTACCATGAATAATGGATGATAACAATTATAACCATAAAAGGATTTGTCTGACAGATCTGCTAACGCGTTTATTTCAAGGCCCCTAAGAAAATTGTGCATATAACGGTCACAATTTTTAGAAAATCTTAAATAAAATGAAAACCATACACATAGATATAGGGAATGTAATACTTGATCAATGTAGAATTTTGCACATTTGAAAGTTCAAAAAAATAAAGCAGGTTTCATTTGAAAAAATCAACTTTTAAGGTTCGAAGTTATGCATTTGAAATTTGATTGAAAAGTAAAAAGTAGTTTTCGCTTAATGTGAACTGCGAAGGCACTAATTTTGGCCCCCTTTATAACCAATGCGTTTTTAAAAATCCGATATAACTGAATATCGAACGATCGTCGAGATCTTGATACATACATCATTTTTACAATACGCCATAAGGGGTTGATTCTGTCCTACCATATCAGCATAGCTCCTAAAACAAATTTTTTAAATCGGCATTAATTTTAGTTTTACTTAAGGTGTCTACATTCAAAATTTCATTTAAATATGTTAACAAATAACAAATTTGAGATTGCGCATGCACAAAACAAATTTTTTGATTCGGAATTAGTTTTACTTTTATTCGAGGTACAAAATTTCATGTAATTCGGTTCAGAACTAATAGAGATGTCAAAAAATCGGATTGCGCATGCGAAAAACCCATTTTTATTCACCATCTTACTTTTATTAGAGCTGCCCCTATACAAAATTTCATGTAATTCGGTTCATTACTATCGGAGATGTCCAAAAACCGGATTGCGCATGCGCAAAACAATTTTTTGATTCAGAATTAGTTTTACTTTTATTCGAGATGCGTACATACAAAATTTCATAAAAAAAGTGGGTTTGCGCTAATACAAACGCTGGGTTGCGCATGCGCATTTTTATTCATCTGCATAGTTGGTTGAGGTTTAAGGAATATTTACTAACACAGAAAAGGGAACATGCATATGCTGTTTGTAACAAGAATTATAAAGAAACCCTTTGTTTGGAAGTTTGAGCAGTTTTTGGGCTGTCACTTTTTGGCCCGTTAGTCTACGAATCCAAAAACAATTGCGGTCTTTCTTATATCCTGAAGAACAATTTTCAAAGCGATCGAACGTTACTACACAAAGTTACCGTGCACACGGACAGACAGACGGACAGACAGACAATCGAACAAAACAAAAACCTATCCAGATAGTTAGTCGCCCGTGTCGTTACAAATTTCATTTGAAAGTGCAATATTTTCGAAGTTTCAAAAGAATTGTCCACTATGGAGAAGGATAAGGCGCAATTCCATCACGGTTTATACACTGATTTTGAATAGGTTTTTGTATAATCTTTGAACGTTGTTTGGGGAACAGTCCTATCCTGGTCCCCTTACACATGGTGTGGTGGTGAAAGCACTTATAAATGCAAATTAAGTGAGCAGATGATAATATCTTACTGCCGCCGAATATTAGATTTGAAATTGTTGCATAAATTTTTGCTGAAGATACATTCAAACCTATCTTGATATTTTTGTGGAATTTTTCACGATATAAAAAGCGTTAGCGGTTTTAAAAGGTGTGTGTCTCTGAGCAGCATTTCAAGTAAGCTAACATGCAATGCGAGGGTACCATAAAGATTACCATCGAAATTGATCGATAAAACTTATCTTAACTGATTGGAACAAATAGTGATATTATGATGATGGATTAAGCTTCGAAATAAATAGCTTTCAAGATGAAACTTAATAATTTTTCTCCTGTCAGCAGTTCTTCACCGTTCTCCTTGCTGTTTCTTATCTTCCCTTTGATATTTACAGTACCTATACCTCTAATTGTATTTCATAATTTCGTATTAAAACATTGAAAAAAAGCAAATGTAAACAATTCAGTAAATAGATTCTTCAAATTTACATTAATCATAAAACAATAATATTGTAAAGCAAGGAACACAAAGTTAAAATTAGATAACATGCAAATCGCAGGACAAGCAAGCCGTAATGAATGCAACTGAACATAAATTTGCATGCATTAAATATTAATTAAAGTCTTCCCTCACTGTGAGATGTAATGAATATTTCCTACAAATTGTGGGTAGTTTCTTTTTTTTAATCACAGCATACGATGACGCCGAGGATTTTCTCTAATTTTAGTACATGGAAATTTTATAGCATGAGATCATTATTAGATTGACCTAATAATTGAGGAGAGTACCTACGTGGGTGAAGTTCCTTTCAATCGACACGACAATATGAGTTCCATTAGGGCTTGTGACGACATGAATGCTACAAATTTGCTTCAGTCAACTGCAATACCATTGCGAATTTTGATCAAATTTATACTTCGATAAGGATTATAGGGGAAGAGGACGACGTCATTTATGATTAGGTAACACGATTATAAATTAACGTTATGGTGATGTTAACCTACATTTAACGCCATTCAGTATGTATGTCACCTAATGATTTAAACCTGGGTTGTAAACTTGACTTCTACAATATATTTTTTTTAATTTTTTGTTTAGAGAACCACCCCGGTAGTAATTGCACGGTTCGTGCGTTGCTTCATGGCTAAGGATCCGCGTTGAATTAAAGTGAACAACATTTCAAGTAACTAAATCTCGTTAATTTTGTGTTTGATGAATTGTAATATAATAAATCGGAATAACTTAACTCATTACTGTAAGTCTAAGGTGTAAAAATTACTGAAACAATTGGCCGATAGAATACTAGTCCACTGAACAATATAAAAAATACGCATATACAATTGATTTTTCTGCTATTTTATGTTCCAGTCACATTTCCGCCAAAGATGAAATCGTATCGTTCATCGAACTTTTGAACCATTCATTCCATTCAGTTCTGTCACCAAAGTCCTACAAAATTAATCAAACTCGTCTACACGTTCCAATTATTTTGAGTTTCGTTAAAAAGAGAA